CTGAAATGAGAGTTTCCAGCTTGTCAGCTTGCCCTCCTGATTTCGGACTTCCTGGTCTCCACAATCATGTAAACCAATTCCTTGAAGCCCTCTGTCTGTCTGTCTGTCTAGCTATATATCTATCTGGAGTATCTACTACTTACTGGCTCTTTTTCTCTGAAGAACCCTGACTGATACAATCTCTGATGATACTATTTACCTCAAAGTCTAACTTACCTAAAATTTATATAGTAGCTGTTATACCAGTAGCTGTTATCAGCGTTTGCATGATATATTTTTTCTTTTTATATTTTAACATTTTTATATCCTCATATTTTAGATCTTTATATTTTAAACATCATATAGATAAGGTATTTTTAAAAATTGAATATGATAATCTTTGTACTTTTTAATTAGAATGCTTTTTCTACATATAATTAATTATTGATACGTTTGGTTTTACATCTACCACTGAACAATTTGCTTTTTTTTTGTTGTTGAGACAGAATCTTGCTCTGTTGCCTGTGCTAGAGTGCCGTGGCGTCAGCCTAGCTCACAGCAACCTCAAACTCCTGGGCTCAAGCTATCCTCCTTCCTCAGCCTCCTGAGTAGCTGGGACTACAGGCATGCACCACCATGCCCGGCTAATTTTTTTTATATATATATATATATTTTTTTTTAGTTGTCCAGATCATTTCTTTCTATTTTTCAGTAGAAACCGGGTCTTGCTCTTGCTCAGGCGGTCTCGAACTCCTGACCTTGAGCGATCCACCCTCCTCGTCCTCCCAGAGTGCTAGGATTACAGGCGTGAGCCACTTTTTTTTTTTTTTTTTTTGAGACAGGGTTTCACTCTGTTACCCTGGGTAGAGTTCAGTACCTCGCTGCAACCTCAAACTCCTGGGCTCAAGGGATCCTCCTGCCTTAGCCTCCCAAGTAGCTGGGACTACAGGCGCCCACCGTGATACCTGCCTAATTTTTCTGTTTTTCAGTTGAGACGGGTTCTCACGCTTGTGCAGGCTGGTCTCTAACTGCTGAGCTCAGGCGATCCTCCGGCCTTAACCTCCCAGAGTGCTAGGATTATAGGTGTGAGCCACTGCCGCCGGCCTATTTGCTTTCTTTTTGATCTACCTGTTTAGTATCCTTTTTTATGTCTTCTGTTGTATTGATTAATATTTATTTACTAACCAGTTTTTCCATTTATTGGTTTGTTGTATATACATTCTTACAGCATTTTTTGTTGGTAAGTCTACCGATTAATACATAAATCTGTAAATTTTCAAAATCTTTTATGAATTAATTCTCATTTTCTCTCCAGAACATGCAAGAATTTTAACATTGTTTGTACCTCTCCTCACATTCATGATATATGAATTGTGATATATTTAAATTCAGTCTATGTATGTATGTATATCATCAATCTATCTAAATAAAACTCTGTACTACTTATTGGAATAATGATTTTATATATATTCATTTAGATTCCGAGAGTTACCCCTTTTCATTGATCTTCATTTATTGCTACTTCTGAAATTATTTTTCCCTCCACAGAAACAAAATTTCTTCAACGTTTCCTTGTTGGTGGACTTGCTGATGATAAATTTGTAATTTTTGTTTGCCCGAAAATTATTTTATTTACATTTATAAATAATATTTTCCATGAATATATAATTCTCGCATGACTTATTTTTTTTTCTGCAGCATTTTTAGATATCATTCTATTGTTGTCAGGTCTTAATTGCTTGAGAATTCCTCTGTCATTCTAATTGATACTTCTTTGAAGGTGTTAATTTGTTTTCACTCGTTTTTTAGGAAATTTTTATGTTTTAAAGAATTTTGTATTTGGTTTTTACAGTTTAACTATGATATGATCAGGTGTGGTTTTAATTTCATTTAGCCCTGCTTGAAGAGAATAGATTTTTTGTCTATTTGTGGCTTAGTGTCTTTCATTACATTTAAAAAATTCTTTGTCCTTATTGCTTTAAAAATTGGCTCTTCTCATTCTCTCCCTTCTCTTCCTCAGATTACATCTATATTAGATTCCTCATTGCACCCTCTGTCTGCATTTCTCTCTCTCTCTCTCTCTCTCTCTGTATTTTCCATCATTTTTTTTTTCTCTCCAGACATTAGGCTGTATTTTCTTCTGACGTATCTGCAAGTTCAGACATTTTCTCCTCAATTATGTTAATTTCAGAATATTCATTTGGCTATTATTTACAGTTTCTGCAAAGTTCCCCATCTTATTTTTTATTTCTAATTTTTTTGAATTAAGAGATGAATTTCCAAGTCCATCTGCTCTTTTTTAAATCTAATCTCCTGTAAATCTCTTTCTACAGTCTGTTGTTTTCCTTGATATTAGATCATGTGCCTGGACGTTTTTTTAGTGACCTCTAGAGATCTATAAAGATGGTATAAATATTTTGAGGCCTAAGATGACATTTTCTTCTTTTTAAGGGATTATTTAATTTTCTTTTGTTTGGGCAACTAAGGGCACAGAAAATCCTGAATCTCTTTAATTCTCTTTCGGGGAATTTTCCTCATAAGTCAACTATAAAAGTCAAATTAGTTACTACAAACAAGGTTTTTAAAACATTCTTGACACTAGTAAATGCTCAGGGAAATTTGTATATTATTTATTTGCATGAAAAATGGTGCAAAACACGGTCACCATTAATGCACCATTAAACGTTAATGGCAATTGTTAGCGGTTATTGGTATTTCAGTGATTTCTTTCACTCCTCTTGTATGCTCCAGATTATTTGATTTTTTAAAAAACTGAGAATTCTTTTAAAAACCAAGCTGCATTTTTAGAAATTAGTATAATATATAGAGAAAGAGGAAGTTGAGTATATTATGGAGAATGATTTATTAAGAGGAAATAAATTTGTGTTTACAGTGGCTCTGGGTGAAAGTCCCTGGGCAGACCCTGTTGTAACAGCCCGGTGTCAACGCAGTCCTTTGTGAAGCTGGATAGCAGAACTCCCAGGTAGAGACGCTCACCGTTTGAAATGTGGTCTGTAGCTGTGGAGATGAGTCAGGCAATACAATCACTGTAGAGAAAAGATCATCAAGGCTATTAAAACAAGTGATATACACAAAGGAGACAGATTCAGATAAAGTTTCAGACCTAGGAGGCCATAGAGCAAAGGCCTGAGTTCCGGCTCTCAGGAGTCCTCCAGCGTAATGACCTAGGCACAGCTGAAAGGCTAAAGAGGAAGATAAAGAATCCATATGAGATCATAAAATCAAGGTGCCCTTCTGGAAACACGTGCTTTCATACGTGGATTTTCAAAGACAGGTAGTTACGGCTGAAGAAAAATTAAGATGAAGACAGGATCAATTGAGCATATTGTTCCAGAAATACGAAAGAATTAGAAGTTTGAGAGAGTTCAAAAGGTAGAGATAAAATTGAACCAGTAAAGCACCACTATTTCTGAAAACAAGAGTAGGCCACATGTAGTGAAGTAGGTACGTGAACAGAGCCAAGAAAAAGTTTTATCAAACCACGCTTCTTAAAAAATTCATCCTGAGAGGTTTTTCCAGGACAGAATCATCTAAAACTGCAGTCCAACTGCACTCCGATTTGACTCACCCATAGAAAAATTCAGATACAAAGAATGAACAATCACTGGGATAACCACACATTTTCTAATTCTTCATATTTTGTTAGTATTTCTGTCTTCCATACAGATATGATAGGCTCGTATGTTATTTTTTGTGTGTTCTTTTCCCCCTTGGGCCTGATTCCAAAAGTGTCAACCTCATGAGTAATTTCTTTTAAACAATGTGTTAGTCATTGTATTTTCTTTGTTATGTAATTTTGGTTTCATTTTCCCTTACTTTTCTCGTTCAGAGAACATATTCTTGTAAAACTACCCATTTAAAAACAAAGTCGTAACGTAATAGGGAGGCGTAGCCTGGCGAGCACAGTGGCGAGGGAAGCAGCGGCAGCTACGTAATGAGGGAGCTAATTTAGAATGTAGCAATGCCATGAGCTGCTAAAATTTAGGTGATCGTAAGTACTGACCACCTGGATGACAGAACTGCATGACCTTTTAATGTACCGAACACTAAAAATCCTTCTCTTTTCTCCTTCTGATGATCAAAAGGAACGGTACGGCTTCTGCTTTTGCTTTAACGTCGTTAGTAAGCAAGAACAGTCCCTCTAACCTCACCACAGACCTGCATGAAACCTGAAAACTTTTACCAAACGCAGTCTTACTTTGCATTTTGAAAGAAACATTTGCAAGGTATTTTATCTTTTGCTTCAACTTTTAACACACTCCAAAGTCTCCGGATGAGGACAGTTGCCTCATCAGTGCCTGGCAGTCAGATACAGTTGATATGCAAGATAAGCTTCCTCAAAGTTGCGTGTTAGGAATGTGCAAGAGAGAGAGCTTCGTCATGTGAACACTGAGGAAAGTCCACGTGAGAAAGATGGGGACGTGGAGTGGTGCTACCTTTCTAATTTTTCATGTGCTTCTATTTTTTCCTACTTCAGAGCCATTGACAAATAGTTCAGTGTGTCACGGCTTATATTTCCAAGCTGCTGAAACAAGACACTGATATTTTCAAAGAACCCTGGAAGCCTAAAAAAAAAAAAAAAAAGCCAATGATAAATAACTAACTAATAGTTTAGGACTATAGCTATGGTACAATTCTTTATTTTAATTTGAAAATTTACAAGTTTCCAAAAAACAAAATGTTCCTTTCTGGTCACACCTTTTCATACGTCTTATGTTTACAATCAGACCCTTTCCAGCTTCCCACATGGCAGTAAGAAAATGATGTCTCTAAGAGATCTGTTATAAAACACAGACTACAGACTTTCAGTTTCTTCCTATGATGCTTCTGTGGTTCCATTGTTTATCAAATTACATATAAAGAAACTAGAAGAGGAAACTATTCCAAAAGTGGAAGTCATTCGTCACTGACTACGTGAGAGGTTGTGGTCACTGCCTATGGCAACCTCTATAATAAAGGGATGTTCTGAAACCCTTCAGAGGCTGCAGGGGACCAGAGGAGCAGACGGCAACAATGGCGCATGTTACAGCATCTCCTATGGAGCGTTCTTGGAAAATCACTGAGGAATACCACATCGATGAAGATGTGGGCTTCGCTCTGCCAAATCCACTGGTAAGAGAGGACACTGTAAGGTGGGAAAATGTATTTTTCTTCTCATCGCTTAACCTGGACAAGTTAACTCTGAACAACTGTGGCTCGGTAACTTCTAAACAAATGGAAAAAGCAGTGCCCAAGTTGGAGGCTGTTTTAATAACCGTCTCATTTAACTTTCTTGAAATTTTCTCCCCAGATATATAATCACCCATGCACTTCTTCCTTGCATATTGTGGATATGCAGAGTGGCAAGATAGGGAAACTGTGGGAACTATTTATTTTAGTTTTACGAAAGAATTGTACTGTAGAAATCAAAAGTAAGTTTATTACAATAGTATTTTTGGATGATATCTGAAGGTATAAATGGTCCGGGAGACAAAGGGAAAACCCTTTCTCTACTGCTATACCTTAAATCGTGCAAAATATGTGTTCCTAATTTGATTGTGTTGTGAGATGGCACATCAAGCCACTTTTGTATGGTATTAATAATGCTGTTTACTGAGCATAAAATTCAAATGTGAGTCTGAGCTACCTTTTTAATTTTTTTATTTTTTGCAAGTTTTAGCTACAAAGTGCAAGGTATGTGGAGAAAATATTTGCCTTAAAAACTATATTTTCCAGGCTGGGCTCGGTGGCTGACACCTGTAACCCCAGCACTCTGGGAAGCCAAGGTAGGAGGATCGCTTGAGCTCAGAAGATCAAAACCAGCCTGAGCAAGAGCGAGATCCCCCTCTCTACCCAAAATACAAAAAAATAGCCAGGCTACCTGGGAGGCTGAGGCAGGAGGATCACTTGAGCCCAGGAGTTTGAGGTTGCTGTGAGGTGTGATGCCACAGCACTGTAGTGGGGGGTAGGGGGCGACAGAGCAAGACTCTGTCTCAGAAAGAAAATTAAAAAAAAGAAAGAAACTACATTTTCCTAAGTTGTCTTCTGATGAATGTCATGTAAACCAATTTATTATCAATATTTTAGTTCTAAAACTTAGTATTCTTCTAAGCAGTTTACAAATATTAACTCATTCCATCCTCACAAACCATCCCAATTGGTATCTATGTTCTTATTCTCATTTTTCTGGTAAGAAATATAAGGCATACAGAATTTAAGTAATTATCAGACTCATACAGCCAGCAAGTGAAAGAGGCAGGTGTAACCTAAGCCGTCTGGCTCCAGAGTTGCTCTCTTAAAAGAAGAAGAGAGCACAAAGCACTGCTTCTCTCTCTCTCTCTCTCTCTCTCTCTCTCTCTCTCTCTCTCTCTCTCTCTCTCGACAAGGTACATGAGATTCCAGGGCAGATTTCCATGAACCAGTTACATGTTGTAACAATTCTTCAGACTAGTATATTTTTATTTGTTTGTAGCTCAAACAGTTCTTGTCCACACTCCGGAGAGCACCATTAAATGCAACAAACATATTTTTAGCCAAAGATTCCAACCTAACTGTGCTCTGAAATGTAATACAGGCAAATCTGAAGCAGCCTCAGCCTCCCAATATAATTTTCCTCTTCAGATTATTAAATTAAGTTAAGAAAATGAAGCATGTGCTTTAATGTTATTGCCAAAAGCCCAGAGTTTGCCTTATGCTTGCAAATCGATAATATTCAGACTTGCTCCCTGCCCCAACCACATACAGGCAGATATCAGGATTGGATGGTTTCAAGAATGTACTGTCAATGGTACAATAGAACTGTCTTTTTCAGATACTACTAAACTTTATATCAAGTTTTTTTTTCTTCAAAAAGTTAGTTCTGGCCGGGCGCGGTGGCTCACGCCTATAATCCTAGCTCTCTGGGAGGCCAAGATGGGCGGATTGTTTGAGCTCAGGAGTTTGAAACCAGCCTGAGCAAGAGCGAGACCCCGTCTCTACTAAAAATAGAAAGAAATTAATTGGAC